ACAGCCATGGCTGCAGGAGGTGGTAAACCCTGGAGAGGTGGGGAGCAAGGGGCGCGTTTCTGAGGGGTCGGTGTGCACATGGCCTTGCCTAGTACAGTGATTCTGCAGCGCCATGCGCTTCCCCTGGCAAAAACCGGGAGGCTGTGATTCCTGTGCTGTCTCAAGCCATCCATAGCGCCTGAAAATGTTGGTGCTTGTTAATACCGCGGTTGCCCCCCATGGGCTTGCTCCCTTTTGCCAGTTTGCAGACAAGAGAGTCTGTCCCCATTCAGATCCCAAGGAGATGTTGAACTGGAGTGATGACTGCGGGTTATGAAATTTAGTTTTAATTTGCTGGGAAACAGCCCCTGGCTAGAATCACGTTCCATTCAAAGCAAGAAATGCCTCCAAGCTGTTGACCCCTGGATGTGGGATCGCTAACTTTCCCCAACACAGCGTCACTGCTGTGTTGCTTAGAGCTCGTTAGCAGCACAGGGCAGGCCACCGGGCAGCCACTCACCTGCACCCCGGGCTGGCACGTGCACGGGGCCCTGGCTCAGGAGTGCCAGTGCTGCATGTAGGCAGGGTGGCCAGGAGTGTGTGAGGTGGGTAGGACTAGAGCAGACCTGAAGGACGCCAGAGTTTCCTGGGTGGTGAGGACGTGTGGACATGCCAGGCAGTGTTTACGAGGCAGCGAGGCATCCGGCTGCAGGAGCTGCCCGTTCACTGGGAGAAAAAAGCAAAGGTGGGAGCCTCCTGCGGAGGTTAATCTGAGGATGCTCCTCCCAAGGAGAGTGATTTGCTGAAGGCTTTGATTCTCAAGTAACTCAAGTTCTTTCTCTCTGCTTCTTGCCTTCCTCTCCTTCCTAGGAAGCTCTGTCTGATGGGAATGCCCAGAGGGATAGATGGAGTGGAGTGGGGGTGACATGAGTCTGGCAGCTTATTAGATAGAATGGGGAGAAGGCAGGCCTGGGGGGCCGGAGGAGAGGCCCAGAGTGGGAGCCCCCTCCACCTGCTGCTGCCATGGGGGCCTCTTCTCTGGAGCTACAGCCTGACTTCTGAGACAGGCGAGAGCATGTCCCAGGCCCAGTGGGTTCTGCGCCCTCCTGCAGACCCAATCAGAAGGCCCGGCTGTGCTTGCTGCTGCCAGTCTGGGTGGGTGGGGAGAGGCCCCGCCATCTCCTGGGCACCCCCTCTGGCCCAAGCCCTTGATTGGGAGACTTGGCGGTGTGTGTGGCTTTGAGAGGAAGGCTGGGCTTGGGCGGGTGGGGGATAGGAATCCAGCCCCGGAAGGTCAGCCTTGGTCTGGAAGAGCAGCACGCCCTCCAGCATGCCTGGGAGGCCGTCAGGTCTGGGTAAGGAGAGTCGTTAGCAGGGCTCATTCCTGGCTTCCTGACTTGAAGTCGCCCACCCAGTGCCTTGTGTATTTATATTTCAAAGCCTGTTCAAAAACGGGAATGTCAGCTGTTGGCGGAATGCTTACAGGGGAGACCCTGCGAAAAGGTCTAGCACTATGGCTTTATTTTTTATTTTTTTAACAAGTCACTACCTGATAATTAAAGGAAATTCAAAATGAAAATCTGAAAGAAGAAAAATTACCCAGTCTCAGCAGTTGAAGATACCCATTATTCTCATTTTAATATATCACATTCAAGTCTCTTTTCCACGCAGATTTCATTTGAAGGAATGTAATTGTGACCTTTTATTTGTGGACTGCCTTTTACTGAACGTTTTAACTTGAGTTTTTCCCACATTAACTGTTTATGAGACTTAATTTTTAATGGGCTCATGTTTCCTTATGAGATTTAATTTTAGCACAAAATCTGCCCAGAGTTGTTACAGTTTTATAAGGACTGTTTCCATGTGTGAAGTATCTGGTGAACTTTTAAAAAATATTTTTTGTTGTGAACCATCACAGGCAGATGGGAATGCTCAGCCTAACGAATTGACCAGTTGTGACAACACATGGGCTGAACTGGCCCCCAGGACCCCATGCTTCTTCCCAGCCACGACCCTTAACCCCTAAGCCGAGCTGTAGGGCTCTGCATGCTTCCCCCCTTTTCTTTACAGGTTTGCTACTCAACCAGGTGTCCCTAAACAATAAAGTTTAATTCTGGTGAGTTTAAATTATTTGCAAATCGTATTGCATAGTGTATATTCTGTGTGTCTGCCCCTCTTACCTAACAGCATCCCTTTAAGATAATCAGTGATGTATGGTTTTATGCAACCCATTCATTTATCCACCTGCTGCTTATGTACGTTAGGGTTGTTTCCCACCGTGTAGACATTCGCCCTGGAACTGCCTTGGATATATTTCTTGGTGCGTATAAGCGTTTATTTGTACGCTGACTACCTGGGAGTAGGATTGCTAGGTCACTGGGTATGTGTTAATTTTCTTTCGCTTTCACTTAACATTGTCAAACTTGTCCCAAATTGGTTCTATCGACCTAGACCCCCATAAGCAGTGAGTGGGAGTCCCTGTTGTTCACATCTTTGCCAACACTTGATACTGTCAGCTTTTATGGTTTTGCTGGGACCGCACTGTGGATTTACTGTCTTTTTAGTCCCTATTTTAGTCCCTTTGGACTAATGAGGTTGAGCGGCCCTCCTTTCCCCTCTCTCCCGGCCTTTCAGGCTCCTTCTGTCATGAAATGCCCGTTTTGTGAAATGCTGCTTTTCCGTTTCCCCTGATGTGTGGCAGTTCCTTATATATTCTGGGTGGGAGCCCTTTGTGGGTTGTGTGCGTGGCAAGTATCTGTGCCCACTTGACATCTCGTGTTTTCACTTTCTTCCGAGTGTGTTCTGATGACCAGAAACTCTTGATTTTGATGTAATGCCGTCTGTCAGTTTTTTCCATTTTGGGCTGGTGTTTGTTTTACCCGGTGAAGTTTCCCATTGAAAACTTTGAGCTGCAACATGCATGGTGCTTGTCCCTAAGGACTCGAGTCTGTGTTGAAGGTGGGCTTTGTGAAGACTGGTGGTGGGTACATCCTGGCACCTGCGGGTCCGGTGCCGGGAATGGATGGTCTGTGGGTGATGGTGCCCCTGCTTCTCTGGAGGGCATCCAGGGGGGTCGCGAGCCCCGGGGGTGGACAGACTCCGGGCACTCCCAAGAGTAAAGGCAGGAAACCAGCATGCACCTCATGCCCTGGCAGGCTGCGCCCTCAGGTCTGCCCATTTCTCCTCCATGTGTTCTGTGCAGCCTGAAGTCCGTTGAGTCTCATGTAGAGGCATTGCCAGGATTCTGAAGCAGTCGGCATGACCCTGCTGATGAGAAGTGGGTCTGACACCTGCATGTCACCCGGATAGGTCACCGTGTGACCCTCCTCTTCTGCAGATCGGCTCAGAGGTGCTCAGGGCTGGTCTGGTGCCATGTCAGCCTGGAGGGCTTTTACTTTATTTTACTTATTTTTGAGTTTTAGTGTTAAACTAGCTCGGTGCCCCTGCCAGCCGTCCTGCATGCCACCGAAGGGGAACCTTCTCTCTGTCCCTGTCCCCTGGCCCCAGGGTGCCTCCCGTGGCCCCTCGTCTCCAGGACCAGACCCCAGCCTTGGCCGCATGCTTGGGCCCCACCTCTCACTGGCGCCGGCCCCGCCAGACTGTGTTCTCTGCCCCACCGCCGCTCCTAGAAGAGGTCCTTCTTGTCCTGTGCCCCTCGTGGCACTGCCCAGACGTCAGCTTTCCATGAAGCGCATCCCGTGCCTGCCACCAGGGATAGGCATTCCCTCCCCGCATCCCATCTCAGGGTCCCCCTTTCCCTGTGGTTCGGGGTGTGTGACGGGGAGGAGGCCGAGCAGAGGGCCTGCCCCACCCCCAGCTGCAGGTCGAGCTCCTTTCGCCCAGGCGGTCATCAAGCAGCGTTGTGCAGCCCTGAGAACCCGTTGGTGTTTTGCACCCAAGGGTAGGTCATAGGTTCAGCTTTACCGGGTGATTCTCCACCTTACGTCCCAAGTGCTTTCGCTGACTTACACTCCCACAGGCAGGGAGCAAGTCCCACTTTTCCCCATGCCAGCTGTCCCTGGACATCATCTGACTTGAGTTTTGCCCCTCTTTTGGGTGTAGAACAGTCGCGGATTTCATGTGCACGTTCGAGCACCACAGGTGGGCAGCCTTTTCCATGTTTGTTAGGCACTGTGTTTCCTCTAATGTGACGTTCTTCATGTCTTTGGGTTATTTTTCTTTCTCATTTCTAGGCACTCTGTATATTAGGAATGTCCTCCTACGCAGGGTAGGAAGGGCTCTTCCCCGGGCATCTTCTCCTTGCTCCCAGCACTGTCTGCGTGGGCCAGGGGTGGGCCTCACCGACAGACACGGCCACTTCGCTCTGACGAGAGGCGGGGCATATACCCTTCTTTTGAATGTCACCTACAGGTGGCCCATGTCACTTCTGGCATGCCATTAGCTGGAATTTAGTTCTCTGTGTGCGCCCGGCTGCATGGGCACATAGCCACATACCCAGCTGAGAACTGGAAGAGAATGGATCAGGAGACCGTCAGGGGTAGAAAGACTTGGAAGGGTTTAGCCCCAAGAACAGGCTAAAGAGGATGTATTCATCTTCATGTTAATCATCTTTTTCTGATACGTGTGAATATCTTTCATATTTTACCAACGCCTCATTTGAAGGGCTCTCACTAACAGTGTTTCAATTTGCCAATTTGCTTTTGTTTTTACTTCAGAAATGCACATGATCATCAAAGAAGCTCTGAAGAGAGGAATATAGGAAATTCGGTGATTCTGTAAATACAGAAATGAAATTTATACTGCCTCTATTTGGTTACTGTTGCCGGAAAAAACGTGCTCATTATTTTTGCAAAATGTTGTGGAAAACAGAATCTCAGTCACTTAATGCTGAGATATGCCCCTAATGGTCAGTTTTGTGAAGTTTACATTCATTTTAAGCTAAACTGTACACATTAGATGATGTGCTTTTGAACTGGCCCACGTTGCAGATGCAGCGGTTCTGGTCCCTCTGTCTGTCCCACGCCCGGTAGCTGACAGCAGGCCTCCTCTGATCTGTGCAGGTACGGGGTGAGTCCTGAGAACATCATCTTGTACGGCCAGAGCATTGGGACGGTGCCCACAGTGGACCTGGCCTCGAGGTACGAGTGTGCTGCCGTGATCCTGCACTCGCCTCTCATGTCCGGCTTGCGTGTGGCTTTTCCCGACACCCGGAAAACGTACTGCTTTGATGCTTTCCCCAGGTAAGCTCACACTTGGTGTGACAGGTACTGAGGCGCCCGGGGACCCACATTCAGGTGCACTGTTAACCGTGGGCCACTGATACATACTGACAGAGTCACCCTGTGCATGTGGCACCGAGGTGGACGTGGGGGTGACAGTGACGCGTACGGCAGCGAGGGACTGTCCCCTGCGCCTGCTCCTTGGTGAAGGTCCACCAGACGCTGCGTGAGGGGCCTGCCCACACAGATGCCCGGGACCAGCTGACTCGCTGTACACACAAGGCAGAAAAAGAAACACCCGCGTGCCCTGCAGAGCTCACAGTTCAGTGCCCGTTCACACACCCCGGTAGACGTGCACTGTGGGGTCGGGGTGAGCTGGCGTGGGCCTGTGAGGTGGCGATCAGCAGTGGGCAGCGTGCCCTAAAAGCCGCGAGCAGACAAGTATCAAGATCTCACTTACTTGTTCAGTTAGACAGCACAGGTAAGGTGACCTGCTTGCCGGCCAGCACCACGCTTTGGGGACAGGCCGCGGGGACAGGGCACGCAAACAGACACAGGCCCTGCTGTCCCATGTTTGCTGGAGGGCCTCTGCCCACCGGGGGGCCTGCACCCCACCTTGGGGGACCGAGAGCCCATGCTGGGTGCTCCCTGCCGGCCGTCTTAGAGGCCCTTTCTTGTTCCCACTCATAGACAGAAGAGAACGGTAACTGCTAAGTGCAAACGCAACCAACACATTGGTTTCTTGAATGCCTCTATTGGAAAGTTTCAGTTTTTAAAAAGAATCTAACTTTAATAAAAACTGTGCCCCCTAAACTTTTCCCATTTGGAGCTAAAGCTGTCTGAGAACGTCAACAACAGCATGCCTGTGCCATTTTGTAGAAAGAGCCTCAGAAGAAGGAGTGCACAGTTTTAGGGTTTTGATTGACCCATGCTTTGCTGTCAGTCTGGGGTGGGGAAAGAACATCGCTCGGGTACATAAACATCTCTTGCACAGAATGGCCCATTTCACGAGAAAAATTCCTCGTTAACACCTTGGGTGAACCTCAGTCGTGTGCAGTTTTATACCAGGCGTCCGCGGGATTCAGCCTTGTGGGAAAGTTGAGCGAGCTGTGGACACCCAGCTGCGTGACTGAGAATGCCAAGCAGGGCTGATGTGCGTCTCCACTGTGGCCTTATTTCTGCTGAATTGGAAATGAGAGGCCAGTTTGTTCAAAGGGAGAGATTCAGCATGTTTGTGGGAAGCCGATGCTAGGAGTCGCCCTGGCAACGAATGAGTGGGTTTTTTCCTGACTCTGAGATTAGCATATACTTTAAAATCCTGCCATGACGACTAATTGTGGCTTATTAATTAATAGTAAAACAACAGCTGAGCCTCAGTGGGTGTGTCTGATACACCAGGCACGGGGAGACAGACCACGGCAGCCGTAGCAGCCGGGCACCTTGCAGTGGGGTTTCACAGACAAGGAAACCAAGGCGAGAACCCTAAGCAGTGGGCCTCGCTCAGGGGCTGCGCGGAGGCAGCCACGAAGGGCCACTCGTCCTGTCCGTCCCATAAAGCGTGCATGCGGTGGGTTCAAACCAGTACAGCCACGCCGGCACTCACACCATCTCACGGAATGGCCACACTTCCTTTTAGTATTAGAAACAGACAGAAAAGGAATCCTGCTCACGCACTGGCTGCGCTCCTGTGGGCAGGGGGGCCGGACGTGGGTGTGGAGCTTCAGGTGTGCGCTCCAGGCGGCGGGCGCCCCCCAACCCTGCGGCGTGGAGCCCGGCCTGGCCTCACTGCCTGCAAACAGCTTTGTGATCCAACCAAACCGAACTCTCGGGTTCTCAGGAGAAGTCACTTTAAATTTAAATATTTAAGCACAGGGGAAAGTAGGTTTCTGAACAGGTTCACTAGTCTGCAAGTTGAGTGCGGCCACGTGGCCGATTTGGCAGCGGCTTTGCTGCCTCCCTGGGTCGTCCTGAAGGGCTTGGCAGCTCCCCGGGCGCTAATCGGGCTGCAGGACCTTGCCTGCAGGGCTGCGGAGTGCGTGGCTGATGGCCGAGCCCTTGGCCATCTCCCCTTCCCCGGGCCTGCTTCCGGTGACCTCTCTGGACGTCTTGCCCTCCGAGGTCTCATTTTGCCTCTTTCGCAGGTGGAGTGCAGAGCCTCTGGCCATGGCACGTGTTTAATGAATGTCAGCTATTATTTTTAACCAAAGTTCCTGATGGAGAGGGACAACGTGTATCCCTTTTGTAACTCTGACCAGGATCAGAACACAGAGATGCGCCTCTCTGGGTTTGTTTGTGGGTTAAATGACCCCTAACTTCGACTCGGCAGGTCACCCCACACCCGGCCTGACAAGGCTTATTAAGGCCCTTTAATTCCTCTTTGGAAAACGCTTTCCGAATCTGCCCCACATTCTTTTGAAGAGCCTCAAATATTCACCCTTTGATTTTTGTAAACAGTCAGTCATCATTGGGAATCAACTCTAGGCCTTACATTAAGTTTTCCAGCCAACTAATAGTTTTCATCAAAACATGAGGCATTAGCGTCTGTGAAATGAAGTCAGGAGGATCCTGCTAATCAGTTCTAAAGATAGCACTCAAGGCAGGCTCTGAAAACTTGAGTGGCCGTGGATTAAGTGTTCAGCTTTCAAAGGACACATTCATCCTGATGTGTTAAGGTCTAGCTTTTTTTTTTATTTTAATTTTCTCTCAAAAATATGAATATATCAGAAATATTAAGCTCATGGAGTGTTAGTCTGATGGCTTTCAGGAGTTCTGTTTTTAATAAAACACTTCAACAAAAACACCGTGGCTAAATCAGCGTGGTATTCTCAGTTGGATCCCAGAACAGGAAACGGACATCAGTGAAAAGCTAATGAAACCCAAATAAAGTCTGGGGCTTCATTAATAGTGTCCCGACGTGTCCCGACGTGGTTTCCTGGTTTTGACAAATGTGTGTGTTGGCCAGATGGAAAATGACCTAGGGGTGTATAGCAACGCTGTATTATCTTTGCACTTTTCCCATAAATCTACAATTATTCCAAAATGAAGAGCTTATTGTTTTTTTAAATGAATAACTGGAAAAATGAGGGACCCCCGCCCAGCGTCACCTTCGTTGCCTGGGACCATGGTTCCCCAACATGAAGCGGAATGCGTTATCTGTGACACGAGTAAAGGAGTCCGGTCTCTCCCCTTTCTTTCCGCAGCATTGACAAGATATCCAAGGTCACCTCCCCCGTGCTGGTCATCCACGGCACCGAGGATGAGGTCATCGACTTCTCCCACGGCCTGGCAATGTACGAGCGCTGTCCCCGAGCCGTGGAGCCCCTCTGGGTGGAAGGGGCCGGGCATAATGACATCGAGCTTTACGCACAGTACCTAGAAAGACTCAAACAGTTCATATCCCACGAACTTCCCAATTCTTGAAGAAGACAACTCGATTTTACCTCACGTACTGTGAACACAAGAGTCCTCTGTTCTGCACGCGCTCCGCCTGGACGGCTGTTACGGTGTGCCCGCGGGGGAGCGTCCAGCCTTCAGGGTGTCCTGATCGGAAGGCTGAGGACACGGTCCTTTCTATCTAGATGTTGTTCTCCTAATGCACACAGCGCGTCATCCTGAGCTGTTGTGGTTTCCGGCTTCATTACTTTGCAGGAATGGGAACGAGGGCTGAACGTGGGGACAGCTTCCTCGTGTGTGTGAAGGATGCTCACCTGTGTCTCCACCGTCCCCATCATTCACGGCCCATGTGTGCAGGACTCAGGCCTCTGTCCACCGTGTTCTCAGTATTTGACGTGCCCCGCTCTCAGCCCCTGGATTCGGCGGCTCCATCCATTTGGGAAGCGGGTGACAGTGTGACTGGAAAATTCTCTTGGGGAAAACTCCCTTGTTAATTTTTGTTAACATACAGGTCTTTCCTGCTCTTTCTCCCAAACAAATCAACTGAAGGGTGATTTACTGAAACTATCATGAACAGCTTCATCAACTGGAACCATAGAAATATAACTGGAATATTCTTAAACTAAAGGAAACTGGGTGTTTTTTTTTAAGTGTAAATTTATTACTAGTCAACAGAGTTTTAATATTTTGATCATCTGGGTGGTCTAACAAAGAGCCTAGCCAGCTTCGGTAAAGCCCTCCTTACAGGCTTTTTTAAAGTACTGTACATATTTGCGATTACATTGTGCATAGATTCTTGATGGATAGTTTTCTTTTGTCAGGCTACAACAGTGAGCTGCAGATCCCTCGTTTGTGATGTAAATGATCGAATACATTTTGTTAATAACGTTTTTATTCCTATGTTTTGCTATTAAAACATTTTATAACGTTTCCAAGACAAAAAAAATTTACAAGTTTATGCTTTGAAGAATTTATGTAATTAAAATTTCGCTAAACTAATCTTTTTAGTTTAGGAGTTATTTGGGTTTTGACACTGGAGCTGTGCCCAGCGAGCATCAGAGAGGTAAGATGCCTGAAACTGCTACACTGCTCGTGTCGCTTGGGAGCCTGGGTTTTGGGGATTCTTTGGTTTTATTTTAAAACTTGTTTTCAAATTTAAAAGCCTTAAATGTACTGTAAGCCTCAGATCGTTGTGCAGCTGGACCGCCGTGGACGGCCGGTTTGTGTACTGTTGCTCGGATGTGGCGCTGCGGTTGGTCGTGGAATAAAGGATGCATGGGTCAGAGCGGGCAGCTTGGTGTGCAGTTTTTTCCCTTCTTCTCGCATCAAAGGAAACAGAGAATAAGAGAATAGCACTTGGTCTTGACGTAGAAGAAACCCTTGCAGGCTTCACTGCCTTCCTCGAGGTGTCCGCGTTTGCTCCCTAAGAGCCTTTAGATTCCTTTTGGAAGGAGCCGGGACACAGGACCTGTAGCAGTAAAGTGCACATGGAATCCAAATAGGCTGTGCAGGGGGTTCTGGCTGCGAAGCACAAGTGGTGAGGCGCTCGCGCTGTGACCCGGCCTGTGGGGAGAACAGTCCTGTCTCTTTGGAGCCTCTGAGTCAAGCGTGTCCCGTAGAGGCCCTTCAGCCCTTTGACCGCTGAGCAGGGAAAGAGTCACTGCAGTGCTCCGCTCCGAGAGTGCCCTCTGAGCATGCAGGGGGCATCTGGGCACGCTCCGCCTCCGCACGCCGCAGGCTCCTTCCTGCCCTGAGATGGGCACCTGTGCGGGAGCCTTGGGAGGTGGGGGCCAGCTCCCCCCTGGAGTCGCTGCTGAAGCCCAAGGGGATTGTGTGCTAGAAGCCCAGGGGACCCAGAAGGGACAAGCAGAACCGACATCCTGCCCCGTGGGGCTCGGGAGGCGCTAAGCCAGGTTCCCAAAGACCCGATTCCTGGTCCTGAGTGTCTGCTGCTCGTGTCTTCTGTAATCACCCACCTTATATTTATTCTGTAATCACACCTTATTTTTCCCCCTGAGTTTTTAGTGAACTTCCTTCCGTCAGTCAGGCGCCAGTGATGTCCATGGGGAACCAGAGTAAGGTCGCCGGTGACTGAAGCCAAGGTGGCAGAGCTATTCAAGTCCAGTTGTTCTGTGACTTGGTGTGGGTGGTTTATATCCGCTGAAGCGCTCGTGTTTTCCGACTCCCGAGTACTGTCCCCAAACCGAGGAGAGGCTTCCATCTCCCCTTTGCCAGAGTTTGACGCGGGCACAGCCTTCCTCTGAGGGTGGCGTGTGTGGTGACAGTGGGAATCCCAGGAGAGGCCCCCATCCACAGCGGAAACAGATGCAAAACACCCTTAGGGATGAGCCTGAAGGCCCTGGGCACCTCTGCTCTCTGCTCTAAGATGGACATGAGGTGTGGACACACTCTCCCAGTGGGAAACAGCTAAGCTAACGCTACTGAGCAAAACGGAAGAGGGTCCCTGAGCAGATGCTTGAACTGGTAAGAAAACAGACTGTGTGGGCCAGGGGTCAAGTCAGATGAGAGCGAAGTGGAAAGAGGAGCCGGTTTTCTGCTGCGAGGAGTGTGGTGGGCCAGGCCAACCCGAGCGCTGGATTCCCAGTCCGGTGGTGGTTACGGGGCAGCAAACAAAAAAAACCGGAGCGCCCTTCATGGTGGGGCCCAAGCGGGTAAAGTCGTATGATCTCAGTAGGCACAGAACAAGTTGGGTGGGATTCAGTGTCCCATTCGTGATTAAGAGTCAAATGAAACTTACCAAACTAGGATAGAAGGAAACTTACAGAGATGATCTCAGAATATAGGAACAAAGACAAGCTTCACACCGAGCAGCAGGGTCACTCCACCTTAGCCGGAGAACCGGCTCCAGTTCTCACTTCTGCTCAGAATCACACAGAAGACCTGCAAGTGCAGTAAGATCACAAGGAAGAGAAAAGAGGAGAGAGGGGAAAAGGGGGCGGGACGGAGGGAAAAGAGGGTGTGATGGGAGAAAAGGGGTGAGTGCGGGGCAGAACCACGCTCTTGTGGTTGCACAACTCACTAAACTTGACAGAAATAGTCCGTATTTGCACTTAAAGGGGGTAGATTTTGTGATACACAGATTATGACTTAATAAAGCTTTTTTATTAAAAAACTTGATAAAAAGGATGGGAAATGAATAAAACTGTTATTTTCAGAGTATGATTGTGTATCGCACCTGAAAGTATCTACAGATTCTCTGATGTAATAAGAATTTAGCTAGGTTGCTGGACATAAAATCAATATGTAAAAGTCAATCACATGTTGATGAATCAGTAAAAATATTGGAAATTCAATGAAAAAGAAAGATATCAGTTACAGTAATACTGAATTAGGTGCTTGGGAGTAATCTAATGCGCCACGTGCAAGACATGGATTAAACTTTTGAAAGACATTAAAGAAAGCCTGAATTAATGAGAGCTATACCATGTTTATGGATAAGAACACTCATTTTTTTAGAAATTGAAGTATCGTTGATATACAGTCTTGTACTGGCCTCCAATGTATTACACAGTGACTCAATAGTTACCCATATTAGTAAATCCCCACCCCATCTAGTGCTGTCACTATCTGTCAGCGTAGAAAGATGTCACAGAATCACTGGCTATACTGACATACCATTGACTGAGAAAGCTCATTATTTTTAACATATCCTTCCAAAACACATCTGTAGGCTTGATATGGTTCCAGTAAATACCCACCAGGGTTTTTTGTGGAACCTGACAAGGTGATCCTAAAAATGTGTATGGAGAACAAAGGGCCAAGAATAGCTAGGGTACCTAAAAATGAAAAAGGTGGAGAAATGTCCTTTACCAGATACAGAGATTTCTAGGTAAGGAATCTCAAAAGACTACTGAGGCTCAGTGCTTTTAGATCCTAGAGTCTAGAAAGCCTTCCCTGACCCTCAGCTCTAGGCTAAAGGCCGCTTAGCTTTCTTCTTCAGGGTCTTACGCTCCTCTGAACATAGATGTTAATAGTGCTTTAAATCACAAAGGAATGTGTTTCTAGATTTGATTTATTAAAAATATAAAACCTTCAAGGTAAAGAAAAAAAATAATCTAGTGACAGACTCAGGGAACATGATAAAGCACAAGACAGATCATGGAAAAATATAGTTAATAAATGATGAGGCCCTCCATTTATCAAGGAGCACAGGACCTGAAGAGACTTTGTGTGAGATTATTCTCAGTAATAATCACATATAGATTCAGTCAAGTTACTTGAAAATGAATATATCAAATGTGAGTTTAAATAATGAAATGCCATTTTGCTTGATAGAGTTGGTATAAATATTTATTTGAAGAGGTTGTTCAATATTTGAAGAGGTTATTTGAAATATTTATTTTGAAGAGATTACTGCCCATAATGATCACTTACAGATTTACTCAAATAATCTAATGACTATATCCAATAAACAGATTTAAACAATAAAATGCCATTTTAAAATAGAAGCTAGTATAAGTATTTAAAGCATAATACCCTTCCATCTTAAAGGGGTGGATAGATGGGCACTCTAAAATCATGCTTATTTTACACACCAAACTGGTGCAAGGGCTCGAAAGAATACTTTGAACCAAAAGCCTGATGCAGCAATTTGGCTTCTAGGAATTTCTCCTTAGGAAATGATTAAGAAAGTGAGATGGGCTTATGTGAGGTCATCAGTGCTACACTGTTAGCAGGAGTGGGATTTGCGAACAAGTTCTCCTAACAGAGGTTCAGTGACTATCACACTCATACAGTATGTGTGTCACTGTGCAGCCATCATAGAGCTGTGGACTCCCTGGTGATGTGACAAAATTTGCAAGGCACATTGTTATATGACAAAGAGAGTTACCAGGTAGTTCCTGTGCTGCTATCCCTCCACGCCCTGGCCCGCCACACTAACCTGGACACGGAGCTGACATGCCCCCAAATGTTGCAGGCATGCTCTGTGGTCACGCTTTGAGTGCATTGTCCACAGGTCTTTAGACAGAGGAAAGCCCAAACCCATCTTCAGGGTCCATGTGAAGTGGTATCAGTAAGATCTTGTGTTAGTGTAATGTCTCCTGAAACCCCATTGACCGGCACTGCCTCCCACCCCAGGAAAAATGCAGCTCTTACTAGAGAGACCAAGTCATTCTGGGTGGATCTCATCCCCTTACTAAGCTTTATATGATGACAGTCATATAGTGTCCCATGCCATGCAGTCTAGCTCTGACCCTCACCCCTGAGGCCTTGCCCCCGCCTCCCTGCAGGATTTCCAGGGATCAGACACCCACACTTACTGAAGGCTGCACAGAGCTGCCCGGCCTGGTGGCTTCCACCCAGAGGGCCTGGGGCCCAGCTCCGGACCAAGGGGGCCTGGCCTGGCCCTGGCCCTGTTCCTTCCCAGCCCGCGGAAAGTAGATGTAACATGAAATTTGCCACTTACCCAGTTTTTGGTGTCTGTCTGCAATGCCAGGAAGGACATACACACCAGTGTACAAGCATCACCATCCGGCTCCACAATTTTTCTATCATCGCACACCCAAACTCTACCCATTAAAAAGTAACCCCTCTGATGGGGGGAGTCTAATAAACATAATGTTGCTCATGTAATTGTAGATTAATGATAAAAAATAAAAAAAAGGAACCCCTCATCCCCCCTCTCCAGGCCCTGCGAGCCACCATTCCACTCTGCCTCTAAGAATTCGAGCGCCTAAGTACCTCACCTAAGTGGGATCAGACGGTATTTGTCTTTGTGTGGCTGGTTTATTTCACTTAGCATCCTGTCGTCAAGGCCCATCCATGCTGTGACATTCCAGTCCTCTCCAAGGCTGAGTGAGTCTCTATTGTGCGTATCTGCGTATTGTCTGTCCGCTCAGCCATCGGTGGACATTGGAGTGGCCCCCACCTTTTGGCTGCAGTGAGCAGTGCTGCTGTAAACACAGGGGACAAATACCTGGTAGAGACCTGCTTTCAATTCTCTTGGGTCTGCACCCAGATAGTAGAATTGCTGGGTCACATGGTGATTCTATTTTACTTTTGGAGGCAACACCATACTTGACATTGCAATTCTAAACGGGGGTCCTGGGGTCTGTAGCCCCTTGAAATTGCATGCCATACTTCGGATGTCTTTACCCATGGGCAGTTTTCTGGGGAGAAAGTCCACAGTTTTAGCTGGTTTCCAAAAGTGTTGGTGATTCTGAAAGGTTAAGAACACTGGTCTGCAGGTCCTTTTAAAAGCAGTATTTTTGGATTCTGAGAACCATGGGTGCAGATTGTGGGATCCAGAGCTTGGATTTGTCCTGCAGCT